GGTTAATACTTCCCTGCCTCCCTACCCACTGTGCCCCCTCCTCTGGTGCAGGGACTGCACACTACCATTCCAGCCATGCCCAGACCATCTTTCAAGGACTGAGTAATGGACAAAGCCCTAAGTAAGCTCCAGGCTTAGCACCCAGATTAAGGTGAACAGCTTGGGTGATTGTGGGAAGTCAGGTCAACTATGTGATTCCAAAACATATTTATAGGTAAAAACAAAAAGATTTATTTCCCTTCAGTATAGTGCTTAGCTAGTACATGGTTTATTGTGGGAGAAATTGGCCTTCCTGCCTTCCTTCTTCCCTATTTCTATTCTCATTTGGATAATGTTATTTCTTATTATATTATAGTAACATATTATTACATAGTAATATCATTTCTTACTTCCTATTTCTTTTCTCTTCTTGATACTCTTCTTTCTAGGGTATAAGAAGACTGCCAGAGGTGCCATGGAACCCCAGTGTTTCTAGGTCTCACCAATGTTTAGAGGAAGTAATATTAAGAGTAATTATCAATACTCAAAGGCTCATTTGGGGGGAAAGAAAGAGAGACAGAGAGAGAGAGAGATCTTTCAAATGCTGGTCTACTCCCCAAATGGCCACAACAGCAGAGGCTCAACCAGGTGTAAGCCAGGAGCCCAGAACTCCATCCTGGCCTCCTACATGAATGACGGGTTCAAGTACATGGGCCATCTTCCACTGCTTTCCCAGGTGCATTGGCAGGAAGCAGGATCAGAAGTGGAACAACCAGGACTTGAACCTGCGCCCATATGGGATGCCAGCATTGCAGGCAGTGGCCTAATCCACTGCACCACAAAGCAGGCCCCACTCAAAGGCTCTTGCTTCTACCCACAGATCCAGAAATGCCACTCATCTGTGGTTCCAGCTAGGAAAGTCTGCACACACCGAGGGAGCATCTGCCAATGCCTGACCAGCTCCAGGACTTCCAGCTGGGGCTGCCACTGTGCCATCAGGCACCATGCCTGGTCTTGCCAGTCCCCTGGGTATGACTGCTCTCCACAGATGGAGTCACCGATGCCCTGAGTTCGCACGATTCCCCACCTATGCTAAACTGTGCCAAAGGGAAGAAGTCACAAAGCACTAAGACTTCAGTGCCAGTAGTTTACAGAATGTATTCAACAGTTGCAGGAGGGCATGGTGGCTCAGCCAGCATTTCATATTGGAGCCTGGGTAAAAACAGCTATATGATGGGGCTGCCATTATGACACAGTGGGTTAAGCCACCACTTGTGAACCTCGCATTCCATATTGGAGTTGCTGATTTAAGTCCCAGCTGTGCCGCTTCTGATCTGAGCTCTCTGTTAATGCACCTGGGAAAGCAGGGGATGATGACCCAAGTGCTTGGGCCCCTGCTACCCACATGGGAGACCCTCACCCACACGCCAGGTCACTGAGGACGTCTTCATGCCCAGCTTCTGCTTTTTGGATGAGTTTGTTTCCAGGAAGCTCCCCAGCTTGTAAGGAAGGAATCTGACAGATCCCTGCACCTGGCCCCCAGCAGGACCACATTCTGAGCTCTGTCCTGGAGACGCTCGTCTGCCCAGCCTGTCTTGCTCGTCCACTCTGGACAAAAGAAGACAACAGTGCAGGCGAGAGCTCTACCACATACTCTTACAAATAAGCTACTTTTTTTGTTAGCTGATTTTTAAATTTCTGTATTTCAGTAATTGGCAGCTATCTGATCAGTGATTCCTTAAGGTATAAATGTACTCTCATAAAGAATGATTTAAGGGGGTTAGGGCCAGCACTGTGGTGCAGTGGGTTAAAGCCCTGGCCTGAAGCGCCAGCATCCCATATGGTCACCGGTTCAGGTCCTGGCTGCTTCTTTTCCAATCCAGCTCTCTGCTATGGCCTGGGAAAGCAGTAGAAAATTGCCCAAGTCCTTGGGCGCCTGCACCCACGTGGGAGACCCAAAAGAAGCTCCTGGCTCCTGGCTTCTGATCGGCACAGCTCCGACCTTTGTAGCCATCTGGGGAGTGAACCAGCGGATGGAAGACTTCTCTCTCAGTCTCTACCTATCTTTGTAACTCTGTCTTTCAAATAAATAATAAAAAATTTAAAAAATAGAAAACTAAAGGACGATTTAAGGGGCCGGCGCTGTGGCACAGTGGGTTAAAGCCCCAGACTGCAGCACTGGCATCCCATATGGGTACCGGTTCAAGTCCTGCCTGCTCCTCTTCCAATACAGCTCTCTGCTATGGCCTTGGAAAGCAGTAGAAGATGGCCCAAGTCCTTGGGCCTTTGCACCCATGTGGGAGACCTGGAAGAAGCTCCTGGCTCCTGGCTTTGGATCAGCTCAGCTCTGGCCATTGCTGTCATTTGGGGAGTGAACCAGTGGAATGGAAGACCTCTTTCTCTCTCTCTCTCTCTCTCTCTGTCTCTGAATCTACTTCTCTCTGTAACTCTGTCTTTCAAATAAATAAAAAATAATTATAATTATTTTTTGGAAACTTTTATTTAATAAATATAAATTTTGAAAGTACAACTTTTGGATAATAGCAGTTTTCCCCCATAACCACCCTCCCACCCACAAACCATCCCATCTCCTACTCCCTCTCCCATCCTATTCTTCATTAAGATTCACTTTTAATTATCTTTATATACAGAAGATCCACCGAGTATACACTAAGTAAAGATTTCCACAGTCTTCCACCAAGGCTACCCAAAGTCTCAGGTTTCTCTGCTGGGCTGATTGCTGGGTGCAGCCCCAAGCTGGCGCAGCTGTTACATATGTCCAAAATGGCGCCTGCTCTGTCGGCGGCTTGTATGCCTTTGTAAGGTGAGTGGAGAGAGAGAATCGTGTCCATACCGTCCCTTTTATTTTTTCTCTCCTCTAGTTAGGCTGGTGCACTTTCCCCCAGGGGCTTCAAGCCTCGTTCCCCTCTAGGCTCTTCCTGCTGTTTTCCTGCCAGTGTCTGGGCTACTGCGGTTTCGTCTCACCTCACTTTCCAGCGCTGGTGCGGAGGCTCTCAGCAGCTGGAGTCCAGAGCTGTGGGCGCCCGTGCCCTCCACAGAGGTCCACCATGTCCCTCTAATTCCGGAAGAGTTTCCTCTGCTGTTTTTTCCCTAACTCTTCCCTGAGACTGCACTCTCTCCACTTTTATTAAACTATCTTCTCCTGGACTAGATCAGTAAGCTCCCTCCTTATTCCACCATCTTGGAATCCAACCAATAATAATTCTTAAAAAAAAAAAAAAGAATGACTTAAAATAAGTTGGGAACTCACTTAAGGTGATGGGTTACAACAGACATGTGTTCTGAAAAGTTTCTCACAGATAATGTATTGTCTCATCCATATCTTTGATGAATCTAAGGGAAAAAAATCAGTACAGCTTTTTTCAAAAGGTAGAATGACAGACAGACAGACAGGGACAGAGCAGAGAGACAGAACATCTTCCCTCCACTGGTTCACTCCCCAGATGGCTGCAACAGCCAGGGTTGGGCCAGGCCAAAGCCTGGAGCCAGTAGCTCTATCCAGGTCTCCCGTGTGGGTGGCAAGGACCAAACGCTTGGGCCATCATCTGCTACTTTCCTAAGTGCATTAGCAGGGAGCTGGATAAGAAGTGGAACAGCTGGGATTCAAATTGGTACTCATATAGGATGCTGGCATTGCAAGCAGTAGCCGGACCCATTGTGCCACAACACCGGCCCCAAAGAATCAACACTCTTTGTTGGTAGAGAGGGAGCGGCTGCACGGTGGTTTTGAATAGTCAGTACTCCACCAGCAGAATCAGAAGACAGAGATTAATGGAAAGGCTCGCCAAGTTACGCACACTGCTGACATTTGTGCCAAATGCAGAAAACAACAGAGGACTTGGCTTTTCGTTGATGTTTTTTGAGATTCTGGGAGTTTTGGGTGCAAACATTCTTGAATTTCACCCTGAAAGGCTCACAGCAAAGCCGTTTTGTCGCATCAAACCTTCTTGCTCCTCCACAGAGTGGAACTACCGGGGCATATCTGAACCGCGGATGAATTCAAAACTAACTTCCTGGCAGGACCTCAAGAAAACAGGGTGTAGGCATCAGAGGCCAACTATTTCTCAGAGACTGGCAAAATGCAAATTTGGGTCCTCAGGAGGCTAAGTGTGCCATTCATTGTCAGGTCTTGGCTCTAAGCCCCTCCAAAAAGACTTCCGTGGTCTGCTCATAGTTCTGGTAGCCACTCCTTCCTACTTGTCCCTGTGCTGCCCAGGAGACAGTGGCACCATCTCTGTTCGAAGTCACAACTAGCAGAGAACAATCCTCACTGCCAATTTTCAAGCCCCCACTCTGTGCCAAGGTCCTTTGCTAGGTGCTTTATGCATATTATTCTGACTGAAGCTGGAACTCAGTCCAGGTCTCCCAATGGGCGGCAGGAACCCAACTACTTGAGCTGTCACTGCTGCCTCCCAGGGTCTTCTTCATGGAGGAAGCCGAAGTCAGGAGCCAGAGCCACAAATCAAACCCAGGCCCTCTGATGTGGGATGAGGGCATCTTAACTGCTGGGCTAAAGGCCCACCCCATACACATTATTATCATGCTCATGAGATAGGTATTGCAATCCCCATTTTATAAATGAGCAAATGGAGAATTTGAGAGCTTATAACATTTCCCAAGATCTCCACACTAACAAGTTGCAGAGACAAGATTCGAAACCAGGTCTACTTAATTCAAAGGAAAAAGAAAAACCTAAGTCTAGAATGGCCTATGAATGACGCCTATGATCCAGGTGGAAATATAAACTGAATCAAAGGCATTATGCATTTTCCTTTTTCTACATATGTATGAGCGATTCCCTTGGTTATTTTACACACATCTGGGTGTCACACCCAGGAGGAGATCTGGAGAAGTCACTGATTTAAGAGGTCATAGAAGAGGGGCAGTCCTCTGGGACGGTCACCCCCATTCTACTCTGTGTAATGACAAGCTCACCTTGACCTATTCTGTCCCAAGAATCCACACACTACACACACTTGCATATTAATGTGCCTAGGGCATCACCCAGCTCTGGGTCGCCTTTCATTGCTTTGTGGGTTGCCTTTGAAACTTTCCCCCCAAAGTGACCTCCAGCAAAGTCATTAAACTCAGTGTGAGAGCTTGCCTTGGGTCCTTGTCACTCTGGCTCCGGGAAAGAGGAATGGCCAAAATTTACTGATCCAAATCCTGATCTCCTAGGAAGAAAGAAGAAGAAAATACAGCTTTCTCTTGTTATTTAGCACCTCTAGCTAATTAAAAAGAAATTGCCATTTGGATTTTGGGGAAAATAAGTTGAAGAAGGGATTTTTTTTTAGGTAGACTTTGTACTACGTAAAACACATTCCTCTACTACCCCAACCTTTCCTTTAAAAAATCCAATACATGGATTTCATCTCACCCGATATTGAGTATATTCGGACTAGCTAAGTCAAAGCCATTTAGAAGTGTATTGTCCCTTGGATAAAAATAGGACAAGATGAGAGTATAATTTGCAAATGAACTCTGGGTCAAGTCACCCAGATATTCAGCAGAAATGAAGCTTAGCATAGGTAAACTCGTGACTGCTCTTGACAATGAGTTTATTTTTTGCTTTAAAACTGTAAGCGGCTTTAATTCCCTATATATCTTTAGTCCTACCTTGAACTCTATTGCCACATACTTCAGTAGTCATCCTGGGGAATCAAACTATCATGATTTACCCATGGGCAAGGATTCAGAAGCCCTGCTTCTGATTTACTAAGCATGATGGAAATTTGGACCCTTGCTGCCTGTCACAGATCCAATCTTACCTGCACTCAGCAAGATAGTGATCACATTTTCAGGAGTGGGAGGCTTGGAAAGGGATATCCCACATGGGCCACTGCGCCACCCCTGCCCACTGCTAGCTCCAAGTCATTCCCAGCGTGCACATGCCTCTCACTTGGGAGCCTCCCAGCCTCTTTGGATGCCCTATGGTTTGACCTGATCTGATCTGGGCTGGTTCCTGACCCCTACTTTGGCATATTTACCAAGTTTTCCATTCCTTAAAAGTCTAGCTCTGCTGCAAAGAGCCAGGCTCTCTGGCTAAAACCCAAGAAAGCCTCTCACCCACCCACACAACTGTTGGGTGACCTGAATAGACCTGAGTTTTGGGTGCCAGAGATGGAAGGGCAATTAATGAGCTGTAAGGCGGTACTAATCAGTCTTGCCAAACGCCACACAGGCAAACAGCCAAGCGCATTTAGCCCTTTTCAGTTGTTTGCATCTAAATTAAATTAGTCACCACTTTCATCAATAGCAATTAATAGTTCCTGCGTGTTTATGAGGAGCACAGGATTGTATTAAGCCTGCCTAGGGCTTTTCACAACATAGAGGATGTGAAACCTCCAGTCTCAATGAGCATATAATAACAAGCCAGACATGACAATCAATTATCCAATATTTGTGGAGTGCCTATTTAGCAGCAGTACTTTGCCGGAAGCATGGATACCACAACTCAGCATTCATGGGAGGAACCCTGAAGAGTCACAGGCTGTCTCCATGGCCCCGAGCCCTGCAGCACAAAGGCGACTGGGGTGTCCACTGGCCACACAGCATTGCTGCTTTCTCAAGGTGGTAAACTGAGGCACGAGTGGCTGATAAATTAGCAGAACAGCCTCCCTGCCTCGGAGTTAATGTCTTGATCAGCTCGGACTCCCATATTGCACTCTTCCAACTTTGTTCTGCTTTATAAACAGAGCTGAAACATACCAGCAATCTAATAGATCATGAGAAAAACCCAACTTGAAGAAGGCACCCTGCATATCGAAGGCTGAGTTTATTTATTTTCTTTTCTAGCTTCTTAAGAGCCTCTACTTTATTGACTGGACACGAGTTTTCTGAGTTTCACCATCCTGGGATCTAAATAATGCCAAAGACCAATAGAAACACCTCCACACGTGTTTGCAAGACACACTTCTTCCCGAGGGGAAGCACACAGCAGCCCTCCTTATCCGCAGCTTCACTTTCCTAGGTTTCAGTTACCCTCGGTCAGCTGACATCCAAAAATACTACATGGAAAATTCCAGGAGTAAACAATTCGTGAGCTTTAAGTTGTAGGCTGCTCTGAGTAGCATGAGGAAATCAGAACTGCTCAGTGCATCCTGCTCAGGATGTGAATCGCCCCTTTGTCAGTGTGTCCACCCCACATACGCCCCACCCCGCTGATCACTTGGCTGCTGTCTCAGTTTTCAGATTGACTGTCTCTGTAGCACGGTTGTGCGTTCAAGCAAACCGTCCTTTACTTAATAATGGCCACAAAGAGCAAGTGTAGTGACTCTGGCAATCTGGATACAGCAAAAGGGAAGCTGCAAGGTGCTTCTTTAAGTGAGGAAGTGAAAGCTCTTGACCTAATGGGAAAAGGATAAAATGGCATGTTGAGGTTGCAAAGGTCTAGGAGATGTTGTTAACCTCTTACTGCACCTGACTTAATCACAGGTGTGTGCATACAGGAAGGCAACGAAGTACCTACAGGATCTAGTACCCTCCATGGTTTCCGGTACCCACTGGGGGTCTTGCAACACGTGCTCACTTGGAGCAGTAGGGACCCCGTAGATGAGTAAACAACACGGAACCTGAGGCCAGCTGTAAATCCAAAAGCGACTGGGGTGTCCACTGGCCACGCAGCACTGCTGCCTTCTCAAGGTGGTAAACCGAGAAGAAACCGAGAAAAACGCAGCCCAGTTGGATCTGACGTCTGTGAGTAAGTGTGAGAGGGCTGAGCCACTGAGACTCCAGCTATTCTGTTTCCCACTTTCGACACCGTTTTTTACATCTTTTTGTAGCATTCCTTTTCGCAAGTCAGCAGTGGCATTTCACAGCGGAAGTACCTGCCAGACAAAGGCCTCCTGAAACAACTTTCTTACCACAGCGCCTTCCTAAGGCATCCGAGCCCACCTGCAGCCAACACGGCTTCGGTCTTTTCTTGCAGCAGTGACATTACAGGTTCAAAGCCACAGGAAGTAATTACTAGCTGTTACTCTCTGGTTTTTTCTACTTTGCTGTTTCCTAAATAGCAGCCTTCCCTTCTAGGTATTCGGAGTTTATTATTTCTCCCCAGGTGTATGTTCTTACATTTGTCTCTATTAAATCACATCTCATTTACTTCACTTCCTCACACAGTTTGCCAAATCAAACTACAATTTAATCTCTTTTTCTCTCTCCCTCCCTGCCTTCCTTGATCCCTTTCCTGTCCCTTCTCTTACCCCCTTCCCTGGGCCATCCCCCCGTGCTGTTTTCTAGTTTAGTTACATGGAATTGCTTTCGTCCTCATTAGTGGATGCATTGCAGAGTAAAAGTCTTGGTCAAAATGAATCTCCACGGTGTTTTGCTTCACACCTCCCTCGTTTGAGAACCATTAACACTCTGAAGTACTCCCCATTCTATATACTTTTTTAAAGATTTATTTATTTGAGAGGCAGAGTTACAGTGAGAGGGAGGGACAGAAAGAAAGGTCTTCCATCCGCTGGTTCACTCCCCAAATGGCCTCAACGGCAGGAGCTTGGCCAATCTGAAGCCAGGACTTCCAGGTCTCCCACATGGGTGCAGGGGCCCAAGCACTTGGGCCATCTTCCACTGCCTTCCCAAGCCATAGCAAAGAGCTGGATTGGAAGTGGAGCAGCCAGGACTCCAGCCAGCACCCATATGGGATGCCGGCACTGTAGGCCGAGGTTTAACCTACTATGCCACAGCACCACCCCTCCCCCATTTTCAATAGCATCATCAATAAACAGGTGGAAGTTGTCGCTCCCCTTCTTCGTGGAGGAATGACACTAAACCCTGCCTAGGCTTCATATCCGAGTCACGGCACCATTATGTCGCTCCCCCTCTTCGTGGAGGAACGACACAGGACCCTGCGCTGTTCTTTTGTCTGCTCGGCCCTTCCCGGGTTTGCTGCTGGTTCTTCCCGGGTTGGCTACCGTCCCTCCACCTCCGTGGAGGGGCGGGCCCCCTGCCACTTTCCCCACTTCCGCGGGGGAGCGGCACACCGCCGGCTGGCTCTCTCGGGGGCTGCACAGGTGTTCCTCTTAGATGTTCCTGGTGCATGTTGTCTCTCTCCTCCTTTATAGTCCTCTTCCACCAATCCCAACTCTGCTACCCACACGCCGAGTACGCTGCTCTCCTCCAATCAGAGTCAGCTCCTGCTGCTTATTGGTTGAACTGGAGGCAGCTGTGTAGAAGCTGTTTCCTCCTCTCCCAGCGCCATATTGTGGGAGAGCAGATGCATAGAATAAGTCTTAATTCCAGTAACAGTCTAGTCCGAGTTGCTCCCAGTTGCTCCCCACAGAAGTGATCAACAGCTCTGGATTGAGCTGGCATTGCAGTGCAGCAGGTTAAGCTGGTGATCCATATGGGTTCAAGTCCCGGCCGCTCCACTACTGATCTAGCCCCTGCTAACGCTCCTGGGAAAGCAGCAGAAAATGGCCCAAGTAATTGAATGTCTGCCACCCATGTGGGAGATTGGGAAGAAGCTCCTGTCTCCTGGCTTCAAACTAGCCCAGCCCCGGCCATTGCAGCTATTTTGGGAGTGAACCAGAGGATGGAAGATCAAACTCTCTCTCTTTTTCTGTCTCTCCCTATCACTCTGTAACTCTGCTTTTCAAATAAAGAAATAAATCTTGTAAAAAGCAGCTGTGCATTTGGTGCGACTGGAGTGGGATAGGTTTCCTATCTTGGACCCTTAACTGGCGAAGTGGTCTTTTTCCCTGCCAGGTGGATGATTCCCCTTCTCTACGTTGAGTTGCCTGTAACTGTACTTGCTGTTCTCTTTCACATAGGCATTGATACAAAGGTGCTTTACTCATGTGCATATGTGCACAAGTCCACACTGGAGTTCTGTCACATCCTTACTTCTCCAGGCTCCTCCAAGATGGCAGTGCTTGGTGGTTTGCAACGTCAGTTCTATGATTCTTCCTTCTGCCTCCACGTGGTCACAGATACGGCTGGTGCAGGACCTCTGGTCTCTGTAAAATGGAAAGAAACACACGAGACATGGGAAGGAGGAACAAGTCTGGGGAAAACGCAAGAGGATGGATTTAAACTATAAGTAAACAAAGCCTCAAAATTCCTAAAAGATAATTTTATCAAGAAGAGATTTAAGTAACTGGACTACAGGACTCACAGCAGAGCATGCAGGATTCAGGTGAAGGAGGTTTCAGTTGCAATTATCTCGGATATCACTAGGTTCCCTGCAGTTCCAAGGTTGGGGAACTGGGGATGGGTATTCAGTGGGGGCCTAGTCAGTCTCTAAAACCCCTTGGGTTTAATTCTTCCCTCATTTCCCTGAGGCATACCTCTAAAAGATCCTGCATTCTTGGGATATAATCCCTGCACTGAGCCCATTCAGGCCATGCTGAGCCAGCAAGTCAGTGTTTCAGCCATTCACGTCAGAGAAACTAGTGAAGTCTGTCATTGTCAAAATATGCAGGGACTTCCCCAGGAGCACACGGTGAAGTCACTTCTAGGTGCAGACCACCGCTGAGGGGCGACGTTCTGTTGTGTGTCAGAGCGCAGACTTGGGCTCTGACACACTGGGCTCTGGACCTTCTGGGAAGCATTTGTCATTGCTCACTGTCTGGAGAGACCTGGGAAACCGAAGAAAATGGATCCAAATAGACAGGCTCTTACGAGTCACGTTTCCAGATGAACACTGTACTCCTGAAATGCCAATTACAGTCATCCCTTAGCATTCTCAGGGGACTCGTCAAGATCCCCCTGAGGATACCAAAATTCATGATGCTTAAGTCTCTTCTACAAAACGGCCCCAATATTTGTGTATAGTTCACACACATCTTCTCATGTACTTTTTTTTAAAGATTTATTTATTCATTTGAAAGTCAGAGTTGGCTGGAACCACGGCTCAATAGGCTAATCCTCCACCTAGCGGCGCTGGCACACCGGGTTCTAGTCCCGGTCGGGGCGCCGGATTCTTTCCCGGCTGCCCCTCTTCCAGGCCAGCTCTCTGCTGTGGCGGGGAAGTCAGTGGAGGATGGCCCAAGTGCTTGGGCCCTGCACCCGCATGGGAGACCAGGAGAAGCACCTGGCTCCTGGCTTCGGATCAGTGCGGTGCGCCGGCCGCAGCGCGCCAGCCGTGGCGGCCATTGGAGGGTGAACCAACGGCAAAAGGAAGACCTTTCTCTCTGTCTCTCTCTCTCACTATCCACTCTGCCTGTCAAAAAAAAAAAAAAAAAGAAAAAAAAAGAAAGAAAGAAAAGAAAAGAAAAAAGAAAGTCAGAGTTACACAGAGAGAAAAGGAGAGGCAGGTCTTCCTTCCACTGGTTCACTCCTCAACTGGCTGCACAGCAGAGCTGCACCAATCCAAAGCCAGGAGCCAGCAGCTTCTTTCAGGTCTCCCACGCCAATGCAGGGGCCCAAGGACTTGGGCCATCTTTCATTGCTTTCCCAGGATGTAGCAGAAAGCTGGATCAGAAGTGGAGGAGCCAGGACTCGAACTGGCACTCCTATGGGGTGACAGCACTGCAGGCGGCGGCTTCGCTACACCACAGCACCACTCCTACCATGTACTTTTAAAAGAAAGATTTATTAATTTATTTGAAAGACTGACAGAGACAGATTTTCCATCTGCAAGTTCACTCTCCAAATGGATGCAACAGCTGGGGCTGGACCAGGCCAAAGCCAAGAGCCTAGAACTGCATCTGGCTCTGCCACACAGGGACGGGGGCCCAAGCACTTGAGCCATCCTCCCCTCCTTTCACTGTATTAGCAGGAAGCTGGATCAGATGTGGAGCAGTCAGAATTCAAACTGGCGCTCTGATAGGGTTTGCTGGTGTTGTAAGCAATGGCTTAACCCGCTGTGCCTCAACGTCAACTCCTGGTGCAAAAAAAAAAAAAAAAAAAGGCACAAGTACTTTTTTCATAATCAACAATCAACATTCTGCATGAAATTTTTGAAGATTCCTCATATGCATAGATTTTTAATTTTGTATAGTAAAATTGACTTGTCTTTTAATTCCATTTTCCCACAAACTTTTGAAGTATACTTGCATATTTCAACATCTCTTAGTACATGTTTGTCCTCTTTATTCCTTTCCAAAACTTATGTGTTCTGACTGTAGAATCTGGCCTAAAATACTAATTTAGGAACCCAGCCTTTCCTGGGTATGCATGGGTTCTGCACCAGCAGACTCAACCAACCATGCATGGAAAATATTCAAAAACAATTGTGTCTGTACCAAACACGTACAAGCCTTTTCCTCTGTCATCATCCACTGCACAGCATAGCATAACAACTATTTCTTTGGAATTTACATTGTATTAAATATTATAACTAACATAGAAAATATTTAAAGTATATGGGAGGAGAGTTGGCATCCAATATGGGACACAGGTGGCTTAACTGCTAGACCAAATGCCTGCTCCTAAATGTATCTTCTTACTCCATTTTCCGCAAGTTTCTGAAGTACCTTTGTATATTATATATACACACATCCATGCACATTTCCCACAACTTAGGCACAGGATCCTTGGCACAGGAGCAAACAGACAATCCAATGGAAGGTGAATTGTTGAGTAAATAGTTCTGAGAAAGTATTAAAGACTTGTTAGCTTGTCATGGCTTTCAAACACATGACAGGCACTTCTTGGGAAGCAAAAAGTTCCTTTTGGCTTACAGTTTGGAGAGTCACAGCTCCATTGGTCTGGCGTCCGGCGGAGGCAGGCAGTGGCAGGGCAGGTGCAGAGGGAAGATCACGTGGTGAGCCAGCAAGCAGAGAGAGAAGCCAGGGCAGACTCAGCCCAAATCACCAGGCCTGCTCGTGGCAAGCCCCCAGGGGCCTGAAGATGTCCCACCAGACTCACCTCTCAGATGCCAGAATGAGATCAAGTGCCCACCCTTAATCCACCAACCCTTAAGAGAAGGCTGCAGAGCTTAAACACCAGCAGGAGTTGGGGGACCCATTTGGAAAGAAATCACTGACAGCCACCACCGTAGAAAACAAGTGTCCAGGTGAATTAAAGCGGGGGGGGGGGGGAGAAGAAAAAAAAAAGGTTACAATAAGAAAAATAAGAGGCCAGCATTGTGGCACAGTGGGTTAGCCACTGGCATCACATATGAGAATGCCAGTTCGAATGCTGGCTACTCTGCTTCCAATCCAGCTCTCTGCTAACGCAGTGGAGATGGTCCGGGTACTTGGGGCCCCACACCCATGTGGGAGACATGGAAGTGAACCACTGGATAGAAGATCTCTCTCCATTAAAAAAAAAAAAAGCCTTTTAAAATTTAAATATTTATATGACCTATGACTAGGAAAAGACTTTAAACATTCTTTTTTAAAATGAAAACTGCAGAAAATGATCATTCGGCTACATAAAAAGGTAAACTTCGAACACAAGAAAATTAAGACATAATACTCAAGAAAATGACAAAGAATCAGTGTTCCTTCCTTCAGCAAAAGTGTGCTGAGCACCCACTATGTGCTAGGCACTTTTTGTGTGTTGAGGCTATGGCAGTAGACAACACAAACAAAAGCACTGCCTTTGGGGTAAGGGAAACAGACGGTAGACAAATTATGGTTGAGACAGGCAGTGACCCTCCTACAGAAAAATGCTCACAGGACACAAGTAGCCAGTTCACCTGGGCGGGAGACTGAACACCTAATCGACCTATGTTTGTGGGACTCCTCCCCAAGTGTGCTCCAGGTTTGGCAAGCAGGACCTCTACTGACCATGCAGCCTCGGTCCGTGAGCCCAGCCTCATTCCTATTAGCTGCCTCAGGCCTGGCGCACCTGCCCACTGCCCTTCATCCAAGCTTTGCCATTCCTGCCACTCATTAAGGGGTTCCAGGCTCTGGAGCCAATGCCAAGTGTAGGACCCTGAATCCTCCATTGCAGATCTATGTGACCAAGGCCAGGATACCTAGCCTCTCTGCGCCTGGGAGTTTCTCATCCATAGATGACAAATTAAATAGTACGTACCTCATCGTGTCGGGGTGAGGCTCAAACGGGAGCATACACGTGCTAAGTGTGTGGAGCAGCACCTGGAAGCGATTATTATTGAGGTCCTCTTCAGGTTACCCAGAGGCCTTCACGAAGGAGCAGTTGTGCAGGGATGGGGAGGGGGTGCTGTGTGTGTGTGTGTGTGACCCACTCCCTGAGGGCAAACGGGAGCAGAGTACTTATTAAGGACTGACCCAGAGTCTGAGTTTCATCGTAGCTGCTCCGACCCTACAAGGCATCAAATGGCTCCTCCGAGACGACTCTGTGTGTATGGCAGTGGGGAGAACCCAGAAGCCCTGGTCTTCATTTTTTACATTCAAGTGTGTTGCACTGCATTCTGTCCTGTCGACATCTCATGTACCAACCCTTGATGGTTCACTAGGTTTTAATAAACTCCTACCTTGCCTGTCTCTTGAGCCAATAGGAAGCAGTGGAAAAAGACTTGACAAAAGGCCTCCTTGAACTCCCACCCAATGAATGAGAAAAAGAAATCTCATTAGTATTCTTCCCACAATCTCTGAGGGCCACCCCTACTTTATGCATGTTTATTCCTCTGCCCTGGCCGCCTCAGGCAGCCCCCAAGCAAATGCCACAATCCCCAGGTAGTATTTCAATGTGGCTCCGTCCTCTCCTGGAAGCAGCACAAGATAGCAGAACTACTGTTCTCCAAGGCAAGAGGGAGATTTAAGGTTCATATTCCAAACGGCTGATGTGAAATTTCAGGGTCTCTTGGATCCTTGGCTGGGGAGCAAGGCCATGAATAACTAAGACTTTTGAAATGTCTTTATTACACCTGCTCCTTTCCAAAGCACCTTAGGAAGGAGAAAGTGCTACATGGAGAATTTTGGCTCTAGCATTACTCTAGTGCTATCTCGGTTCACAAAAGCACAATACATTTCAATATGACAATAAAAACGTAGCTCTTGGCCATAAATATAGAATTTTCAAAAGCACAAACTATACCCAATTTCTTTTCAAATTTGGAAATTCCTTCTAACTCCAACCCTCC